AATGCATTATATTACTATTTCATGCAGTAAACAAAGGGAAGTCAATTAGGTTTTATCTACAATAATTTCTTAGTTTTAAAACATGAGGTCAAATTTTACCAAGATTTCCATTATGAGGTCATGACAACTGCCAAAGGTAAAGTGAGATTGAGAACAAGAATGGAGTAGGACAAGATTGATGATGATGAGTAGGAAAAAGATAAGGATGTGGAGAATAGGAGGGAGAGAAGGAGAAAAAGGAGAAAGGAGGAGTAGAGGAACAAGGAGGAGGAGAGGAGGAAGAGCAGGAGGAAGAAGAAAAGGAGGAGAGGAGGAAGAGGAGGAAGAGGAGAAGAGGAGAAAGAGGAGAAGAGGAGAGAGGAGGAGGAAGAAGAATAAGAAGTAGTAAAGGAGGAAAGGGATGAACAAAAAAAAAAAAGGGAAATGAGAACAAAAACAAGAACAATAATAATAATAATGATAAACAGAAGCTGAAGAATGAAAGGATAATCAAAATAAAAATAAAGATAGAGACAAAAATAAAAAACACTTGCACTATCTCCACCTTTACTGTAAACAACACAAACAGAGAAGGAAGAACACTAACTCACCTTTCCACTTCTCAGTTGGGAGATCCATGTCCTCGAAGCTCTGGTCATAGGGCTCACTGTCCGGCTCATCAGTGGGATCGGCATACTGAGCCAGATAAGGGTGGGCCAACGCCTGGGCTGCTGTCACACGCCTCTCACTATCCAGTTCCAGCATCTTCTCCAGCAGATCCACCGCTGTAATTGGCGATACAGTCATGTCGATGTATAGGTCAAGGTTAAAGTTGGGCTGCCAGAATCAGTTAAAATGAAGCTTACAATTGCAGCATTTGGAAGTTGAAATTGCATTATCTATGTAATGTGTCTATACCAAGTTGCAATTAAATTGTTTGATTGTAATTTTGTATATATTCATAGTAATAGTAAGAATACTAGTAATGTTGAGAGCAATAATACTAGTAGAAATGATAATGACAAGAAAACAATTATTATCTCATCACTATACCTACCAAAAAGTTTCAGCTAAAAGTGATGGGACTGCACTCAACACCAACTGACCCTAACGCACTCACCTAAGGGATTTGCTCCACGGAAAACTTGCTTAAAGTCCTTCTTCCTCATATGGGGCAGCGAGCGAATGTAGTTGCGAGCCTAAGAGGATGGTGGTGAAGTTATTAGCAAATCACTAGATTAGCCAATCTCCTGCTGCACTGATCATGTGTGGAGCAAAAGTGACCTCTCTTTTAGGTCTATAATCTCCATATCATAACTGTACTTAGCTCTTCTTAGTTTCCACAAGAGATTCTTTTCACATTTTCTATTTACTAATGAAGTTGTTTGAATATAACCATAGGAGGAAGAAAACTTATAATCTTTAATAAAAAGGGAAACTGTTGTAACTGTAGTACTTAATGACAATATCAAACATGGATTATGAAAAAAAAGTTTTTAAAATCACATAGCAAACAAATATAGAATAATTACTGGGACTGGAAATTACTTTTAGCAATAATTCTTATTTCCTTCCTGAATAGGGTATTCCTGAAGTAAGTCCATTAGTTGAACTTTCATTAATTATCTCTTCCTCTTTAAATCTATCCCCTGCAAAGTGCAAAGCTGTTTCTTTTGAGATCCCAAGGTTTATTTCACAGACAACTAACTATGCTCAATAACAGAAATCATATGATCTTATCTTATGTATTAGAACATTTAATTGGGTCTATCCATGGAAAAGCATAGTAGCTGACACATATATTCGCAACTGCAAGAAAGCAGAGAATGAGCTTAAAGCACGAAACATACATAATGCACATTACAGGCTGATATGATTACTTGTCACCCATTTTGCAAAACATTTAGGTACTTAAAGCATCATATCTTTAAGTGTAAAAGTCATATTGAGCCTTTTTTATATAGATACTGGAAAAAAGTAAGATATTTATTTATATGAATATCATAATCTCTCTATCATCTGGAAAATAAAACGAAGACAAAATAGTTGGGAGGCAGCCAAGTAGGTATTAGAAAATCTATTGGTTCCCATGGTCACAATTCCTTTGTCTTATGACAAATATTGTGAAAAAAATATGGTCCTCCATTTTAAGGTACAAATTAAGGAAAAATTACTGTACCATATACCCCATATACTATAAGATTGAGAGTTTTGTTGTTACAGCTGATAGTCCCATATACCTCATATGACATGCACAGTACAGTAAGTTTACAAAGACTATTAAGATATTTAAAAGGTATTAATTCTGATGCAAGATTAAAGTTCCTACCCCAATCAACACTGTAAAACCTGGTTATCAGTTACTTTTCCTTTGAAAAATTAAAATTAAGAAATGCTTGCCTTACAAAGCAACAGATTTCAAGACCAGAGTCTGGCCATCAATTATGGTTTACTCTTTAGCCTCACTGATAATCTGTTGCAATGAAAACAATTAAATGCCACTGGCATTTAGAGAGTGATGGAGGTGTCAGAAAACAGTGATTGCTTTACCTCCTCACTGGTGATTTTAGATAAAGTTTCTTCATCCGGCGTTCCGGCGACCACTAGGATGCGCGTTAGTTGGTCAATGTCTGAGAAGCCAGGTTAAGGCAGCTAGAACAGTCATGTTAAGCATAGCATCAGAGGTAGAGCTACAAAGAAGCTACTAACTCGAGCTAAAGATCATCATATGAGAATCACTGCTGTGTCCACCTAAGATATTATTAGTGTAAAGGTAATCATCTGAATTGTATTAGGTCACACAATGCTGATCCTAAAATAGCTGGGAGTATGAGTTCCTAAACGTTAAATCAACATTTCTAGGTTAATACAGTGTTAGAACTGTCTTGTAGACATACAAAGAATTTCCCTTACAACCTGAAATACCAGTAACAATCAAGGAAATTTTGTTATCAGCAAACCAGAAATTAATAATGCAGAGATATCATTAAAAAAAGTTTCTAAGATACAGATAAATCACCATACACCTGTTTAATATATCATACAACTAAAATATTAATGAACATCAAATTTCATTTAAAGTTAAAACCTTCCATGACTAAAAATACTTCTCATGACCTACTCTGTACAGTTGCTTCAAGAAGTTCCTAAACCCCTTGTTTGACCTTTTGTCAAGGTGTAGCACCATCACAGTAGCAGTGTTTATCTTTATGAAAAAACTGGTATCCATAGTGTAGTGGTTGTGTGTTAAATATAATTGCCAGAAGTCATAATGGCTAGCAATGTTGGGTAGATAGGAGTAATAAAAGCATCACCAGAGCACAGACCAGTAAAGGAACTTCCTGATGCAACTGTGCAAATAGATACTGGAAAAATTATTTCTCTTGTGGTTATCTTTCGCTGAGTAAACTCCAAACTGAGTATATACATACACAGGACATACCAAAAAAGACACATTTCACTGAAGTTGCTGCAAGCCACAGCTTAAATCCCATGGAAAGAGAACTACACAAGCACTGACCACAAAGGCAAGGACTTGGGAGGCACAAAGACACACAACACAGGGGGCAAGATGCAAGGCAATATGGCACAAGACGATGGAGCATTGGGGGACGTTTGGGTACACAAGCACACAGTTTGGCAGCTGTCAGTGTGGTAGTATCAATCATGGTTGTCCAGCTGAGGAGAGGGACTAACCTCTTCACTGGAGAGCTTATCTATAAGGTCCTTACTTGGCGTCCCAACCAGCTTCATAATCTTGTTCAGCTGATCTATATCTGATTCCTGGGCTAAGGTAACCTAACAGTATTTGCACAAGTAATCAAGCAACCCATCATAAAAGTCACACAGCCATTACAATGCATTCTTTTCCACCACTTGTAGCTCATGCCATGTTTGTGGCTAAGTCTGGCTGCACTGAAAGCCTCATTAAATGGACTTGTCTCAGTTCCAGCATTTAAGGGGTCCACTTATCTGTTACATAAAATTCAACTTTTCAATTGTACACAATGGTGGAATATTAATAAGTGTTAGCTATACTGAGCTCCTGTAAAGAAAAATGCTATTGAAAAAATAAAAAAATATATGTACACAATGCTACTCAAATGAACATATTTATGATACCTCCTTGAGATGTCTCAGATTATTTACTTTTAAATATAAAAAGAAAAGCAGACTGCACAGAAAGTGGCATGTTCTCCGGACTTCTTAATACAAGAGAACTATCGAGCTCTTTGTAATGCTCAATATTTTCTCGTGGACTGCATACCATCACAGTTAAATCAATCAATTAACAAGTGATTTCTAGGGGTCATGCATGCAAGTATACATGACTCTGATCTAGCCTGAAGCTAATGCCACCAATTTTACTAGCTAAAGGAGCAAGTGCATTTCTACCACAGACACTGCCAACAAGCCAAGAAAAATAAATCAGTAAAAAAACAAAAATATAACATAAAAAAAAAAAACAAGAGAGAGGAAGGAAGGGTTACATTGTAGAAGCACCATCCATGCTTTTTGCTCATGGCCTCGGCAGGGAACGCAGGTGTAGCCAGGCAGGGGGAACTTACCGACTCCGAGGTGATCCTGTTGAGGTACTCTTGAGGTGGCGTTCCCAAGATCTCCATGATAAGATTGAGCTGTTGGATATCTAAGGTCTGGACTAAGGGTCAC